CAGTTACGGCGGTGTGAGACGGGAAGGCTGAACACCCGCCCTGCGTACCTGGGGCAGAGAACTGGTTTGGATCGCAATCCTGGCCCTGGCCTTAGTCTGTGGTACACAGGGTTCAGAAGGCTTTTATATATCACAGAACGGGTTGGGTTGGAAGGGACCTTACAGACCATCCAGTTCCAACCCCCCTGCCATGGGCAGGGACACCTTCCACTAGACCAGGTTGCTCAAAGCACTTTGCCCTACTGACAAAAGATCTAGCCAAGGAAAAACTACACTATAAAGATGTTTCTTCTTCACTTTTGTCAGTGGTTGCTCCTGTTTTAAGAACCCTTGTTTTTTAACTCTTTATTGGGTTTCCTCTGGATTATTTTGCAATATTTAAGCTAAAATGAACAACATCTGGACAAAATAAGCAGTTGGGCACAAGGCTTTGGAATAATCATCAAACTGAGAGGATTCATGTGATTCAGACACATGCATAAAAGCAGCACTGGTTTTCAAGGCTGCATTACATCTCATCAGTAGTAAAGTAACATTTACTCATGCTTTTATATGATTCCCTGGCTTAATTTATCAAGAACCTCCATATCCAGTGGAGGACAGAATAATCATGGCTCTAGATAATCTATTTTCACTCCAACGTTCCAACTTCTTACTACTCGCTTGTGTCCACTGAGCCATCCACAGCGTGAAGGCAAATAGTGCGCTTGAACAGAATTCTGCTCTCAAATAGGAGCAAGCAGGCAGCCACATGCTTTGAAGAAAGAAAACCAGCAGTTCCTTCCCTACTGCTGAGTTGCAGACGGCACGCAGTAATGGAGGAGGTTGGATGGACACATTTGAGCTGTGCTAGGCACAGGACTGAGGTGAAGGAAGGGGAAGTGAAAGCGCACAGCGTAGCAAGGTCTTACTGGAAAGATATCAAAGCTAACACTATGGTAACAAGTTCCCTAAAGTGCCTCAAACATCCGAATAACACGATTGTATTGGCTTATGGACACTACATTTACTAGGTTTACTGCCTGGCTGGGAAAATTAAGAAAAATCAGCTGTGAGAGAAACTCTTACAGCCAGTACTGTATCCTTCTCCTCTAACATCGTGGCCAAATCTGGCTGTTTTGCCCATCTCTCAATTAAACCACAACGTCTAATGTTGATTAAAGACTTGGGGTGAACTGCAGAGAGTGCTCTCAGCACAGTCAAAAGCAAAGGGTAAATATAAAGGTGACTATTGGTAGGGGCTTTCTGCTCAACTGGATCCAGAAAACCAAAACCCTGAGGTTACAGGAACTTCACAGACAATTTGTGCTGAGATACAAACGATCTTTAAATTGGTTACAGGATTCTTTGAAAGTATGCACTGATTTACTTCGCAAATACATTACGTTTCTTTAGCTTCCCCGGGCTTAGAAGTCAGGAAATTACATGTCAGAACTGGATGACTTGTCTTTTTCTTGCTTGATTCTTCTGAACTATGTCCATAGAAACTTTGGCTTCGTACAATGGGATCGGTTCATCCAGCTGAGGCCTGGAATGGAACAGTATGTCAGAAGTGGCTGGTGAGCATGCTCAGATCAACAGAAATGTGGCAGAGCTACTGCTACAGACTTTACTTTCTCTGTGTAAACTTGACTCCTTCAAGAAAATAAAAGTTTTATGGCTTTGCCTGGGTTCACAGAAGAAGGGAAGAGCCCTAAAGCAAGCAGGAAACACAGGTTAATTAAAAGATGTCCTTCTTACAGGGGAAAAAAAAAAAAGGTGGTGGTGAGGCTTTTGCTCAACAGTAATACTGTTATCCTGCACTAAGAGAAAGGGGTTCTTCCTTTCCCACCTCATTATGGGAGTCTTCATAGCTAGTGCAGCTGTCACTCTTCTCTGAGGAGCGTTAGACAAGCACAGTGCCTTTCACAGCCAACGCCATTTCTCACTCAGGCACTGTGGAGCAGCCAGGTACGTGCTCTGCCTCCACCAAGGAAAGAACATGCTGCCTCTGTTAAATTTTCCACGTACAGCACGATCGTGGGGTTTACCAAATTCCCTTGCACTTAACCCGATGTACTGTGAACAGAATTAGACCATAAACTGCTCCATGTAAACTGCGTGAGGCATCTTTTCCTGAGCATCCCAATACAAGTTTGCAGTACAGTGCTGAGAGGAGTTTCTACTTCTAATCCTGAATTTAAAAAAAAAATAATAAAAATTAAGAAAATAAATCACATCTCTCACCTGAAGATGCTACTTGATAATTTCTCCATTATATCTTCTAAGATGGGTATCTAAGAGGACTGTCAAGGTAATAGCATATCTACGGATCAGTCTTTCCATAATCAAACTTGGTGGCATGAGCCCCATACTGATCTAAAACTAGCAGCATCAAGGCAAAACGAAAATAAGCCTTAATTCCAACCTGCAGATCACATTTATACATCAGAAACCACCTTTCCTGAAACAGCATGCAGAATTCAAATATGGGAAGTAGAGTTTTGAACAATAAAGCAAAAGACTGAGAAATGCAGCCCGCACTGCTACGGCACTGATCCATCAGAACGGCGACTGCATCTTTTGTGCAGAATGAAGGTGACAGACTTCGGTGCCACTTAGCTATTGTGCTGTTCATATAGATATCTAAGGTTAAAAAAAAAAAAAAAAGCTGGGAATACAGAGCCTGTAAATTCTTGGAGCGCCACTGCGCATCTGTAAGGGATCTTTGAGTTAACAACCAACATGCAACAGATGAAGCTGCATTTAGTCTTTATGAGACTCAAAAAACAGCATTCCTTCATTTTAAGAGCACTCTGGTTAATATTTGAAGCTCAAGCCATTTTAAGAAATGAACACCTTGCAGTTTCTTCAGATGATGCTACTTCCATATGCTCAAGAATTTCACAAGATTTACAGATGCAAAAAAAAAAAAAGAGGCAAATTCTTCCTTTCAGCTTCAAAGCCTGTTATGATAAAATGTGCTGCTCTTACTAAAGGCAGCCCAGGAGACGACAGAAGAAATCTTACTGCTTAGTCAGCTTACTTTTGGTACGTGGTAACTACTCAGTAAGCACTCCACAAAAATGCCAAACTCTGAAGCGACCCGTGACAGCCTGCATCCCATAAATACTTCCTCCGTGCACCTGACCTTGCCTAATCTACTCTGCAGCTCAGTGGAGGAGGGGAGGGCTTCCCTGCAGTACAGTTAGTCGTTTCACAGATATGATGACTTAATCCTCACCTGCCCCTGCCGTTGTGCTAAACTGCAGGAGTGATTCAGCAGATCTCATCAGCCCGCAGTGCAGCGTGGAACAGGGAGGGCCCTTAAAGCCATCAACAGCCCATCACTGGAAGCTGTCCGCCAAAAGCTGTCACGCTAGGAGAAAGCTCGGGGTCGAGCCCCAGGTAACACAAATATTTCTCTTCCCACACCCACATCTTTGCTCAACAGATCTGATGTATGCGACATTGCCAATAAGAAAAAGGTTATGAAGCCCAAACATTTTAACTTTTACATTCCGACTGATTGCATTACCATTTACAGATGATGCACCCGCTGCCCAAAAGAACAAAACCACTTCCAAATGTCATACTAGTAACACAAAACCTTAGAGAATCAAATCTTCAATTAACTGGTTCAATCTTGAACCAAAATACTGCATTTTCTCTGGAATGTGTGTTTCCATTTCAGCACCGCCTTAACGACGCTTGTTATATATACATCTATGTAGAAGGAATGGAGCGACTAACACCACACGCTCATGTTAGATGCGTTTCAGTTACACGGTATGCTTAGCTGTGCTGACCTTTCAGCCCCTGGTTACGTGACTGAGCAGAAGAGAATCGATCAGCTGGTTTCTCAGTTACACGTCCATCCGCTCTTATGAGCGGTCAGTATTCAAAACGACCATCGGAAGGATATAGAGGTACTTCCCTTGCTGTATGTTGGACAAATTCCATATCTCGTCATTCAGAAAGGAGACTGTGGCTCCTTTGAGAAACAAGGAATGGCTATCTGGAGGATCCAGCTTAAACAAAATGAAGAAAAATTATATTTAGTTATATATTCCTACTAAAAAAGTTAAATGGTTATTTTATATTGATGGTTAAAACCCTAAACTGAACAGAAAAACATGCCTTGTCCATTCTTAAAAGTTATCAAAGATAATATCAAAGATAATATCAAAGTTATTTACAGCTTTAAATGATACCTTTCTGATTCTTAAAAGTTATCAAACATAATATTTACAGCTTTAAATGATACCTTTCTGTGTTCTCAAATGGTTTAATTCCCTGAGGCAAACAAAATAGGCCCTTTAAAATTTGTCAGTATAGCCAAGCCATTAAAATAGCTTACTATCATCTGAGAGAAAACAGCCCCAAAATTGTCCCAAAGGAAAATACAGGCGTTTATTATTAATGCTGTATGCTTCCCATTTTCTGGATGCAAACGTTTCCTTTGGTGAAAACTGCTGTTATTTAGCAGCGGGGAGCCATTCAGCATGACAGCAGCTCACAGACAGGACCGTGTCTACGCCGTGGTACAAACTAACTTACTGACACCGTATCTTTACCTGGAGATTCTTCTCTGTCGTTATCCAGTGTCCCCCAACTCCAAGAAGAGTAATGATATCATGCTTGTGAGGCAGCAACCGTGACTTTGAAGTGGTTTCATCCTCAGCACTATATAATTTCACTGGGGAGGAGGGGAGAAGAACAAATTAATTCGAGCCAAGAAGAAAATTCTGTTCAGAATGACACGTCCCTCTCTTCCTGTACTGAAAACTATGTGTCCTGGGTTCTGTATGTCTTCAGACACGAAGGAGTTGCGACATTTGTGTACGAATACATCCAATGAAAGGTGGTTGTCTGGAACAGCACTACAATTAGATCACGCTGTTAGTCACAAGAGACTACCTGAGCAAGTAGAAGACTGAGGAAATTCAATATATATTTCTTCTAAACACATTTTAGTGGAACTCTGAGAAGCTCTTCAGTTATTTCAGATAAAAATTGTAACTTTTTGGTTTTTCAGCCATTATGACTGTCTTAAAATACCAGTTGACAGTAGTGGCGATTATGGCATATTTACTATATTAAAATAAGGGAGCATAACAATGATGTCACAGCTCTACTTAACATTTTTTTCTTTTGAAACCGAGGGAAATGGAGCAGGTGACCAACAGTACTAGGTGCTTCCACTAGAGGGGGATATCAGGCGAGCTTAAGAGATCTACTGAGCAGAGATACGTAAAACTGCATGGGAACAAGCAACTAAATGTAGTTGGTTGGGGTGATGCAGCCTCCATGTATATTACTTGGAATTATTAATGATAACAAGGATATTATTATTCCTATTATTACTAATGAAAACCCCACTAATGGTGCTCTCAAGACCTGGTTTCCATCAGTTACATACCTCCAGCGTCTAGAACAATATCCACTCCCAAGCCACCCGTTTCTTCCAAGCAGCTTTCTGCCACATCTATCTTCCCATTTGACACATCTATCACTCGAGCTAGAAAGGAGCATGTTTGGTCAATCGCAATAAAAACGTAGTTTAGATTCACAACAGAAAATTCCTAGTTTCTGAAAGTATTACAAGCAAGTTTGCAGCTAAGTCAAAAAACCTAGCCAATAGTTCTCATTTTCCAGTACAGTGCAAGGTCAGCATCAAAAATATGCGTTAGCCTAATGCAGAATTAAAACCCACAAGTCTGTTTAAGACAAAAGGGATAAATATGCTACTGTAAGAACTGGAAACCTTTATGAAAGTTCATTCTTTGATATTCTTTTTTTCCAAAAGCACCTTCAAAACCAGCAAGCTCTGGAGCGACTAACCGACTATTTGAAGCAAAAGAGTGTGTCCAAAAGATAAGGAGGTACCTTATTTTATATCTCCCGACTTTCAAATTATCTATCAAATAACCATAGCAGTAACGCTTTGGGAAAGTTTTCCAAGCCCAGCTTTATCTCCTCACTCTCCACGAAACCCACCACTTACTGCCAGTTCCTTGCAGAGCCCTTTTCTTGCTTCCGCATCATAAC